CGGTGAAGTTTGTGAAACTGGCAAAGGATTATATCTCTGGCCCTATAACGCACATAATTAACAGATGCATTGTGACATCGAGTTTTCCTAAACTATGGAAGATTGCAAGAATTTCTCCGATCCCTAAGGTTAGTGAACCTCGATGTGATACAGATCACCGCCCCGTGTCTATCCTATCAACGCTCTCTAAAGTGTTTGAACGCTTAGTGCTCCGCCAGCTTGTTGAATACATAAACGAGGAAGCTCTTATTGTTCCAACCATCTCGTGGTTCCGCAAGGGACATTCCACTACCAGTGTTCTATTAGGAATTCGAGATGCCCTGATACGAGCGTCTAGCAGAGGGGAGGTGACATTAATGGTTTGTGCAGATTACAGCAAAGCATTTGACACCGTCCAATTCAAGTCTGTCCTTACCAAGATGCATAACGTTGGTTTCTCTAAGGATTTCTTACTATGGATGGTTGATTATCTTACGGATCGAAGACAGGTGGTGCAAATAGATGATAGAAATGGATGATAGATGATAGACATGGCTACAGTTGAAATTGGCGTCCTGCAGGGCTCCATTCTTGGTCCAGTAATTTTTAATCTCTACGTTACTGATCTTCAGAAGGAATAACAGTGCGATTGTTATCAATATGCTGACGATACGACTTTCTATGTCCACTTGAAGCCCGGCGAATAATTAAAAATAATTAAAAAAGGAGACCTCAGCAAATCCCATGATAACTTTTACTCTAAAACGTTCAATAGCGTGACTAAAAAGTAGCTGGAACAAGAGCTTGCAAGCTTATTTTAAATAACATTTTGTTCCATAAAGATCTCTCATCTTTGCCGCCCTTTTAAATTACCAAAACTGCCCAGTATATTTATTTCATTCCCTAGACAAATAAGTTATGGTCCCCTCAAAGTTCCGCAGTATTCTCTTTGGGTGTAAATAAAAGGTCACTTGTCTCTCTGCTCTTGTAACTTCTTTGTTAGTTCAATCTGTTGTTCTAACTCCTCCAGATTTCTTCTCTTTTTCTCTTGTCGTTCTAAATCTCTGATAACACCTTCTCTGAGCCTCTTACGATCAGCAGTTTGCATTTCATGCACAAGCCAAATTATAGCAGAGGCGAAACAGAACGCTCCTCCTAAAGCAATTTTCGCCCCTCGTGAGATCATCGTGGTAATTGGTCAAGGTTTCAAAACTGTCATTTAGTATTTCCAAATAGGCTTTCCACGGAAAACAGCTTCACCTATGAAATGTTAATTAACACAAATTTCGTTAGTCCAAGACCTCTCTAACAATTACCATTGGAAGATCTAAATGCTTTCTAATCAGATTTGGAATTATTTATAATTCGTTTCTTTTCTCATACCTTCCCGTTACCGTTTTTGTTAACTTTGTTGTCGTTTTTCGATCGTCTGTTACACTTTCAATTTCACGCGCTTTTGTACCGCACGTAATAATGGGGTCTAATGACAGTATATTGACCCAGCTACATTTTAGCAAAGTCTCACTTTTTTTCAGTCAGTTTCTCTAGAAGTCGCACTAAGCGCAGTTGTCAGCTCAAGAGGTCTTTTCCATTTAACAAATCGTCAGTGGTTTAGCGTGTTCTTCTGTACTCTTATCGACAATGACATTTTTCATCACAGTGGTCCAACTGTTGTTGCAACTTTTTGACCGCTTCTTCTTAACCATCGTTCCCATCTCGAATTACAACTTAGAATGTGGGCTGCTGTGGGGGAAGATTAGAAGGCCCAGAGAAAAACCCTCGGAGCAAGGACCAGACACCAAGTCCAAAATTCGAACCCAGGCCACAGCAGTGGGAGGCGAGAGCTGCTCCACCTAATGTATTTTTTCGTTTCATTTGTTTTTTTTTTCCCAAGAAGTTGTTTCTAATATGTTTAAGTTACCAACACTTATCTGCTATTTGCGTTAGTTTTCGGTTCAACCCGTTATCCCGTAATAAAATCAGTGCTGAAAGTCCTTGTTACGAAGACGTCTCGCTTTCCCTTTTACCGCCAGGCCTAGTTGTTATTTTTTAATACTTATTTGAAGTAGCCCTTCTCGCCTCGACAAAATGTTTAAAATCAATAGGATTTTCACTCCAAAGTGAGGCTACGAAGGCTACTATGCGTGATGAAAAGACAATAATAACTTTATGGGGCAACGCCAAATGCACGAAAAAAGTTAGCTCTGTAGCACGCGCTCGATTGGCGCGAGTGACAATCTCGATGCCAAGCTCCTCTTACCATGGGGGAGGACAGAAACCTGGGAACAAGTCGCACGGATGAATGCGCGAAAAGTCACATGCGCCAGAGCCCAAGGGATTTGGNAAAAAAAAAAAGAAGAAGGATGTTTTAATTATGACAAAAGAAATTGAGAAACAAATCATTTGCAAGTAAGCTTCTACATATTACTGGCAGGTTAAAAGCTTCTGCTGGTAAATAAATAACATCAGTGACAAAAATAATTACAAGCTTTTTTTAATGAATGGTTAAAATCTCATGATATTTGAAAGAAATTTTTGAAAAACCAACATTCCAAATTCCAATTCGATCTGGAACAGTGGACAAGAATAGCCACCCAGTGGATGTCCATTGTTAAATCATTTATTTATTTATTATTTATTTATTTATTATTTATTTAAGTCAGGACTGACAGCAGTTTGGGGGTGATCCAGACAGCTTTGAACAGAGCTTTAGAAGTTTTGCTGCTGTTATTTCCTTTTTCCTATACTCGGTCCAATACTGACTGATTGGTTTCTGCAAGTGATGGCAATCCTGACCTTGAATTCTGATCAACTTTTTATTGCTTACCAACTGCATGTTTTGAACAGAAATCTGGGCCACTCGATACAGTGATTGAACTAAAGTGTAAAAAGGAACTTGGCACTTTCTACTGGTTTCACCATTGAGAACTTTCTGCCAGCCTTCAATGTCATCCATAGTTCTAATTGGCTGATGATAGCTAGACCAATCCCTAATAGGATAAGCAATGTTGGTGATCCATGTGTCCTCAATGTAGTTTATTAGTTCCCAAAGTGTCTCTGTGGTTGCCTGTAGTTTTAGTCGCTGGAACTGAGTAGAAATTTCTTTGCCAGGCAGTAAGGGTAATGCAAGAAGTTTCCTAAGGTACTTGTGCATACCATTATGATCTGTGCACATTGACTGCAGACCAAGATCTTGCATCTGATAAAATACAAGTAAACAAACTCTTAGTCTTTGTAGTTAAGGAAAATATGAAAACGGTCTAAATCAGTTTATGAAATTTTTGAGATACTACAAGTGCCCCTTAAACTCATACAAAATTGGTTAATCATTATTACAAACTCAGTAGAGAGCACTTTCTATCAATTAACTGGTGTTAGTAATAAACCACCAAATATGAAAAAAATGAAGATATAATTTAAACAATCTAATTCAGTTTATAAAATCACTAAGATACGACAAGTGCCCTTAAACCCAGAGAAAATCAAAGTTTACTGGCACTTTAAAATTAAGTAGATGGCACTCTTACTGATGTAATGAACCAGCAGAATGTTGTGAGAACACTTCTACTGTTTGTAAAACATGAGCTGGAGGCAAGTGATTTTTCATTTTTTTTCTGTGCTTCTCTAAATGTCCTGAACGGGTTATCATGTTGGTAAAAATGATCAGGTAGTCTAACAATCTAGGTGAGAGTTGGCCTGAAAAAGATTGACAACAAAGGATGTTTTGACTACCAGAGAGGGAAATCATAAATCACTGTCTCAAAAACAGTCCTTTGCAAGACAAACTTCTCCCAGATGATTGTGGGGAGGGGTGGGCAGAGGGGGGAAGGTTTGGTGGAAGGGATAATGAGTACTTGGGCTGGCATAACAGAAAAGAGAGGGTCAGTCAGAAAGCTTAATGGCATTTTATGTAAGTGACTACTGGTGCAAGGGGCACAGATGATGATGATACCCGGTACATGTGTGCGAAGCTTTACTTGAAAGATCCATAGTTTACCTTTTTCCACACAGACTGGGTCCAGTGAAAAGCACATCCCTGCAGCTTTACATGTGGGACGACACACCGTAGTGCACCCCACAATGCCTCATCAAAATCTGCTGTAACAAAGTGCACATGAAGCCATTCCCCAGGTAGAAGATGGATCATCTCTCTCAAAATCTGTAGATAAAGGAACAAAAATGCACTTAAAGAAGGAAATTTTTTTGGCTTACAATGAGCATATAAATTCAATTTTTCTTTGCTCAAATTGGTTGTCATGGCAAATTTGGTTTTGATGCAAGGACTCTCAATCAAAGAGGGCTCTGACAATTGCTTAAATTGAAAAAGAAAGACTGAGGATTGATTGAGAAGTAAATTCTCCCTATAATATCCATACATTACCCAGAAAAAAGGTAATGAGAATAACTACTCAAAGTAATCAGGTAGAAGTTGTTATCTGGATCTAACTCCAAATTCTTGACACAAATTCACAAGGAAATGTGTAGCAGCCAGAGGGAAGAGTTAACAATCAGATCTTGGGTGTTGTAGGCCAGGATAAAGGGAGTCTTATGCACACTAACCTTCTTGTAATCTCTCTTTTTCCTTGAAGACATTAAGATAAATGCTAATGGCACCTGTTTTGCAGACTCCACAGACATTACAAAAGTGCTAATTGATATCAGTTGGTGAAAGGGGACTTTGACCATCTTGTCAATTCTGTCAATGTACCAACTTTTTGCTGCAGCCAAGAGATTCAGCTGTTGTTCTGTAGCAAAAATAAGGTGACGCTGCTTCTTTACTTTCACCTCCCCTTGGTAAAAACCTGGTGGAATGACGTCCTCTTTTAGGGAGAAATTGAGGTCTTTCACATCCTCCGACCTCATTTTCTGACGCAAGCGATTCACTGCACGCACTATATGGTCGACTTTAGGCAAAGCCGGGCATACAGAGGTTATAGGTAGAGCTTCCTGAAGAGTCTGTTTAAAATAAAAATTGTAGTTACTGTAATGATTAAAAGAGCCAGGCCACCAAGTGTAAATGGGAAAGGAAAACTCAAT